ACTACGCATGCGCGGCGCTCCCAGGCAGGGAAAGTCCTCGACTTATGACCGGTTGGGTAGTCCTCGACTTACGACCGGTTTAGTCCTCGACTTACGACCAGTTGGGGTCGCGGCATTAAAAAGGTTGAGAACCACTGCTTTAGAAGCTGGATCTTTCAGTCCAGTGGCAAGTTGAATGTTTTTGTGGCAAGTCCTGTCAATTGACATGTTCCAGGAAAAAGTAAAGGCAGATTTGTTTCCCTTTCCATTATTGACCAAGGCCTTCAAAAGCGGTAAAAATAATGTAATGTGAGCTTCATAGAATTATGCTCATAGTAGCCCTTACTTACAAGTTGTTCTTATTGTTAGAAAAATTACACAAAATGTCTAAAGAAGCTCAAACTACATTTCCTAATGTATCCTCTGAATATCTACATTTGGTGCAAAACCAGTACAAGTCACTGAGACTTCTCAAGTATTGGTTTGATAATTCAAAAACTGTAGTAAAATTGGCTTCACATAGTATAAAATATAGAGACTGGCAAAAAGAATTGCTGTATTTGTCCTTTTATTCCATTCAAAAACTCAAAAGAAAAATACTCTTGACTTCACTTGCTTGAGTTGTTGCAAAAATAATCTTGATCGTTATTTTACTCCTTTGGAACTATTACATCCCCTTTTGTTCTTTTAAGGTGTAATACAGCTTTTAAATGTATCAATGTCTGTGGTTGGATGCGGTTAAAAATCTTGCATAATTGTAAGCGCTTGAACAGAGCTCAAGAAGCAAACCTAAAAGGCCAAGTCCTGACAGACTTGGACTCTCTTTTAAATACTTTATTTCTTCACTGGGAAGAAGTGGAACTAGAGTATCTGCACTTTGAATTTTGTATCCTTTGAGGAAAGAGGACTGGCTTGGTTGAGCTTTGCAATTTAGCTTAATGCATCATCATCATTATGTATATATGTACAAAACAGGAAGTCTTTTCAGATCATATCAGCAAACTACTTCCTTATATGTACAAAAATAAAGTTTTCTGAAACAGCAAAGGCAAAAACTGATATAACATAGGCAAGCCCCATATTTTTAGGCCTATCCAATCATGGGGCAGAGGGGGGGTTAATAGCTAAGGTTGCAATTTCTTTTTCTATGTTCCTGCAAGACCCCAAAGCAGGTACAAATCCAGATTGTACGTTTTTACTGGGTGCTGTAATCATGTCCACAAATGGGATTCCTTTGCAAGGTAAGACTACATTTCCCTATCTTGAAGTGAACTTAGATAATTTTTCCCACAATATGTTGCAGTGAATGCTATTCATATTGGAAGGAAAGGAGATTCTTTATGATTCCAGACAAAACCTATGGTTGTTTAATTAAAGAGCTAGCATTTAATAGAGCTAGCAACTCTCTGAACAACTTCATGCTAACTGAATATTAGAGAAAAGAGAGAATGCATATGTGGATTATTTTTCTGAGTCAATTACTGATATGGGCTGTGGTCAGTTGATCAATTAGAGTTTTCCAATTTTCAGAAATCTGAATTAATATTTTTTAACTCTAGTAGAAAGGCTTTTGTTCATCATGATTGCTATTTGTTTTAATGCTGCTACAACTCTGAATCTAGGTAGTGAAATGCTTTAGAGTCTGCTTTGCAGCCAGAAGATCCTGACTCATGGAAAGTCTTTGGACAGTTCACAAAGGGGTAGTTTCTAGTCATGTATCCTTATGCAGCTGGAAAGTTAGAAGAATAGTGTAATCCAAATCAGAAAATACAAACAGAGTTAATTGTTGAATAGATGTTATAGAAACTGGAATATGATCAGTTGCAATGTATTTGAACTGGGTAGCCAAATGATGAGTTTGGACTATACTTGGAGATTTATATTGTTGTTTCAGATGAGTCCCTAGAGCAGGGGTCCTAACCCCTGGTCCATGGACCGGCACCAGGCTGCAGCATGCCAGAAACCGGGCCACACAAATAAAAGAAGCCCCATCTGCAGGATGCAGGCAGCATGCAAAACCATGCCCCGTTCAGTCCACGGAAAAATCTCTCTCCATGGAACTGGTCTCTGGTGCCCAAAAGGTTGGGGGCTGCTGCCCTAGAGTGCTCTACACCAGACATATCAAACTCGGGACGTCATGTGACATCGCGCAATGTATTGGAGCTTTTTCGCCATTGCCGGCAATGGGGGGTGTGTGGTTTCCCGATGACTTGTCCGGCCCGTGGGCCGGCATTTTAACACCCCTGCTCTATACTAAGAGCAAGGGACAGTACAGAAACATTCAGAATTGAGTCTCATCCATTTATAAAATGCTTATAGGTGAGAGTGCTCTAGAAAATAAGATATTTTGGAAAGATAGTCCAGGGTTATACTTGGTGTAAAAACACTTGGTGCTTTTCTTAAAAGGCATTAGGAACCTCTCTTCTTTTATTTCAGAGATCAGTACCACTCTATTGAAAGCTATAAATGCACTGTATCCATAGATGTTTGTTATTTCAATCAGATGACTGATCTGCACAAACCTGGACTATCTTTTATTTTTATTTTATTTGTTTTATTAAGATGTATAGGTTGTGCTTTTACAAACATACAAAATTGATGTAATAAGATTCCACAGGCAAGAACTGATATCAGTTTTACCTATTCCACAACTGGGTTCTTTCTTCTCCAGGAGATTGTTTTATCTTGATTGAGTCTCCATTTCTTAGTCCTCCTTCAGGTACCAGTTCAGAAGGTCAACAGCAGAATCCTTGGCGCTCTCTGAGCTTGGTTGTTTGCTTGCAGATGTTTCATTACCCTCCTGGGTAACATCACCAGTCAAATAGCTTTCCTATCATTAGATGACACTTATTGTCTATCAGTAATTGCTTCTTTGAGTGTCTGCACACTTTTGCTTGTATCAGTGATACAAGGAGAACTAAAGCTTTACATAGACCTAAGGTCCATCACTGAGTTTTTCAGTTAGCTACATGAACACTTCTGGTATCCAATGAAAATTACATTTGTTTCTGATATGCAAATATTGAAAAATCAGGGGTTGTTGTTTACCCTTACCATGTATCTGGAACAGAAGTGATGGGAACTGGACTTGTTGCCAGGTGACTTCCAGAGTACAAGCCAAGGTCACCTTAGATATCCGATAACTATCTTTTTCATGTGAAATCTGCCCACCCAAGGAGATGGGGGTGGGTCTTCTTGGTGATAACCCCCTCTTCTTTGGAGCAGTTTTCCCCTGGAGCTGAATTCTTCTATTATTATCCTGGATAATTACTGATTATTATTCTAAAGATCTTGCTGTTTAAAAGGGCCCATGGAGAAGGAATGTTCTCCCAAAGAAATGAGGAAGGAATTAGTGGAGGTATATGATTGAAATTGTTGGGGTTCTTTCTTTTGGTGGTGGTGTGTTTGTGTGTGTGTGTGTGTGTGTGTGTGTTTGTGTGCATTTGTGTGCATGTGTCTGTACTCTCGCTATATTGTATACTTGTAACCTTACTTAAAATACTTAGGTTTTGTAAGCAGCCAGTCAACAGATTGCAGCAGCATAGAAACCTTTGTAATAAATAACTAATTCAGTGTCATGGGGACTAAGGCCATGTGGCTCTGTGACTGGCCAGTCTGCTGTCCAAATTCCAGTAACTAATAAACAATTTAGGAACATTAGTTCTGCCTTCTTATAGTCTTATGGGTGATAGGGGAATATCATTCTACTGGACTTCTTGGGATGGAAATTATATATAAAATGATTTAAAACCATGGATTGTACAACCTCTTATTCTCAAATCATTTCTAGTCTCTTCTTGCTCTTGGTTCATTGGATTCCTTTACAGTAATAGGCCAATTATTTGTCATAAAGAAAATATGTACTTCTTTATTGCCTACGTTTGTTTGTTTAATTACGAATGATACTTATAGCTTTCAAAACTCTAGGCTGGATACAAAAAAGGCATACACATAAAGGAAAAAAAGAAATGTACAGCATTTACATTGTTAAAAACCTTAATACCCTAAGGGAAAATCTCATAGATGCTCCAGACTGGAATTGCTTTGAGGACCAAACGTCTGGTGAATCATCACTGCTTTATGGTAGGGGCCATCCATACCTCTGGTGGCAGAGTGTTTCAAAGAAGGGAGACTGCTATTGAATAGACCAGGGGTAGGCAATCTTGGCTCTTTTATGACTCGTGGACTTCCAGAATTGGCTCAGGAATTCTGGGAGTCGAAGTCCACAAGTCATAAAAGAGCCAAGGTTGCCTACCCCTGGGATAGACCTATTCCTCGTCAATGTCGCATGTAACACTCAAGGGACCCACCACGGAAATTTTCTTGAACACTGAATTGGCAGTTTCAATTCTTTGTGGCACCCTGAGAACAAATTACAATGGTCAGATTTTAGGGATGAGGTTGGGGAGATTTGAAAGGTGGAGATGGAAGTGATTTGACTCTGGGAAGCTGCTTTTTCTGTTCTAAAACCTCTAATAAATGCCCCCCCCCATTTTTGACATTTATGAGATAAAGTTTAGTGAATCTGCAAAACATCAGGAAACCATATTGTGGCTCCTAGTCCTTCAAATATAGTCCAATTTTGAGTAAATATAATTCCTAAAATAAAATTAAGATAAGTTTAAAAGACAAACCCAGTAAAAATCACAAATATTTCCATTCCCGCTAGTGTACTTGGCATGGCCCTGCCCCTGTTTTCTCTCTTCCTCAAACCTTTAAGCGCCCGAGCACCCGTTGCCATTCTTGATGAAATCGGCCCTGTGACATTTTCCATTAAATGATGCCCTTTAAGAGGACATTCTGGCCACTTACAGGAAGAGTCTCCTCGGGGTCCTTATCAATGATTTTTTTTGAGCGAGCAGTCAAGAAGTATAACGTATGACTCTCGGATACTCAAGAGTTTATTCCAGAGCTCCAAGCATTATATTTCCAGGTATCTGGTTTTCCATGTTTGCAACAAATGGTTTTATTTGTGGCATGCTTGTTTATCATCTTGTCGTCTTCTGTTCTTGCTTCTCCAGTATCGGCCAGACTTTCACAAGTGTCCTCCCCACAGTCAGGCTGCCCATCTCCTTCTATCCCACCAGGTAAAATCATCTCTTCATCTCAGAAGCACAGCAAAAAGGCACTTAAACAAGTAAGTGGGAGAGCATACTGATTTGTTTATCTGACCTTTAATTTGTGCTTATCTGCATGTTACTTGGCACTAAAAACCTAACCTAACTTTGTGTTAAATTGGCTCTGTGCCTTGCTCCAATTTACATTCTCCTAAAAATTCTACATAATTGAGCATATGGATACAAGGATAAAAGTTAACTAGAATATATGTAATAAAACAAAGCTTCTATTCAAACTGAAGCCATGGAAGAACAGGCAATTTTTCTTAGGATTTTTTCATAAAATTGTAAATCACTTTTCTGTGGAAATGACAACCACCAGGATGCTAGATTTCTTTGCAGCAGTAGGCTCTAGCTATTAGCCAGATAACTTGAGCCTACTGAGTTAACTAATGTTTCATTCAGTTGCAGAACAGTTGTGAAGTAATAATTATTGCTTTATCCTTGGCTCTCATATTTTTCCAAAATAAAAATAAATTATAATTGTCCTTGGTTTACTTATTGCTTAATTTCAGTTGCCCTGTTTACTTTTTGTCTCATGCATCAGCTTGGTATGTTTTTCCTTTCAGATAGGTGGTATTCCACTGGGACTGTGTTTGTTCTGACTCAAAATGCCCTAGCATTTTCTTCATATTGGTCTGTTTTTTTTCCCATTTCTCATTTCTTTCACAGTGATTGTTTCCTTAAGATAATCAGATTTCCAATATAATTTTGAAGAAAATTACATTTTCTCATTTTATATGCTGAATGTTTTTCGTAGCTTTTGAAATTTGTTTGGATTTTTCTCTTGAGATGTTTTCTGTTTTGACTGTGATTTCTTAGACTTCCTTTCACTTCCTTTATTTAGTGCTTTGCAGAAATATGCAAGCAGTTGTTTTTCTTTTAGGAGGATATCTCATTCTGTCAATGCAATACTTTTCTTTTTATTTTAGATACCAGGCTATATTTTCTTTCTTATCTCTAGCTACAGAATATAATACAAAGTAACAGAGTTAGAAGGGACCTTAGAGGAGACACTATATCATTTTAGACAAATTGCTGCCCAATCTCTTCTTAAAAACCTCTAGTGATGGAGCATTCTCAACACGGAGAGTTTTGATCATAATTATGAATTGTATTTGTTGCAGGGCCTATATATAATATAATGTAAATTATATTATTTCCTTACATTCCCCTGGAGCAATTGCTCTGTCTGTATGGGTCAGATTTGTTCATACTTTGTAGAAGATAGCTATGTTTTGAGAAAGGTCTTCTTTGTAATTATGATAATGCCTTGGATATTATCTGGATACTGGGAAATTATTTCGCTAGTGCTCATTAATCATTAATGAAATCAGATTATCCTTTAATCTTGCAACATTGTAAGATTAAATATTTTGCCAAGTATCAAAGGAGGAGAATTTTCCCACTTCTAAATATTTAACATAAGCATTAATTTGGGAATGTCTTTGATAGCAAGATAAAATATGTTGTCTGCAAATCTGGTAATAGGAAAATTATGTTATTTTGCAGTCTTCTGTCTCATTTGTTATATAAAAAGAAATCAATAGGTGACCCAAAATCCATCTTCAGTAAAGTGCAATATGTAATAAATGGTAACAGAACAGTAGTTCTGTCAGCCAGCCATTTCTACATCTCTGCAGGCGTTCCTGAACAAGGAATTCTGTACTACTGTATAGATTTTTCAGCTTAAGAAACTCCTGTATACATTTCACTTTCTTATTAGGCCTTGAAGCAAAAGCAACGGAAACAGCATCATTGCCGAACCAGTGTGCCTGTATCAACTAATCACCACCTCCTACAGCAGCATGTGAAGGTTCCTAACCATTCTGCTCCTGCAAAAGCCGGTATGAGCCCTTTTCAGACACACCTTCTCCGCACAATACTGCTAATTGTTTTCCTCAAAAATCAGCTCATCACCCTTGACCTCTGATGACAGCAAGATATATTTAAATATTTATATTTAATTAGCCTACTGTCATCAGAAGACTTGAGAAATAAGTCAGTAGTTAATTCTTTTAGATAGTGTTACATTCAGTTAAAACAATTAAGTTTAATTATTCTTTTCTTTGCAGCTTGGGAAGGAAAACAGTCAGATGGACATTCAAGTAGCCCACAGAATTCTACTTCTAGTTCTTCTCCCTCTGTTAAAATTGAGCCTTCCTTGCCAATCCTTGGGAAGAAACCATTCCAGAGATCTGAGAGGCTCCATGCAAGTAAGACAACAGCTTTCTTTAAAAAAAAATATTGCCTGACACTTTATCAGGATGTGAAACTTAGAAATATTTTATTTGTATTGTTATTTTGAATAAAATAAAATAATAAAACAAATAAATACATTTGAAAATGTATTTTATTATTCATTTTTAAATTTTTAATGCTTTGGTTATTCCAGAAAAAACAAAAATGGATTGGACAAGTTTAGAAAAAAGGCCTTTCTGTCTGTATATGTGGGGTTTTCTTAGCTTTCTATTTCCCACTAGAAGAGCAGCTGCTAAATGAACAGCCTGAGTTTTCACTTCATTCGGTTTACCTCATGTGAGTCTCTGTTTGAGATAACATTGCTGTATAGCTTGTTTAAAACCAGTGAATTTTACCATATAATCTAGATGAAGCTAAAAGCAGTCAGTACTTTTTAAATATGTGTCATATTTGAAGTATTTAATGAAGTTGGATTAGACTAAGGTTTACTAAGCCAGCTTTCTTTCTAGTAAGAAGTATTCAAGGCAACTAAGTACAAATGGAATAGTAAAGAATGTTGGAAAATCGAAATGCTTTGTGTTTGAAGTTCTCCTTTTTCTATTTTGTGCTCAGGATGAGATTTTCTAGCTCACAGAAAGTATTCCAAGCTCAAATATTTTGTACTCATATTCCTGATATCTTTTCTGGTGAAGGATTATGAGTGGTATATCTGAAATGCACTGCACAGAAGCAATTTTTAGAAATTACACATAAGTAACACTTCAATAAGCTAGAGTTCTAGCATCCCTGGAGATTTCACTGACTTAGTTGTGGACTTTGAGAGCTGCCATCCATCTTATTTCCTTTAACATTCTTTCTGTGTAATAGAGGAAGAGTTGTCCTATAACATTAACATATTTAAGAAGATTTGTCAAGTGGAGTGGATTTCCAGACTGAAGTATCAGTCCTGGATAGGGACTTTCCCATTCCTTGTGAGAAGCAGAAGCAAAATGGGTAGAGCTCTTCTTCCTAATAATGATCTTTGGTTTCTCTTTTATTAGGGCAGCTGAAGAGGACAAAATGTGCTGAAATCGATGTAGAAACCCCAGAATCCATCTTGGTGAACACCAATCTGCGAGCTCTAATCAACAAGCATACATTCATGGGACTACCAATTGAATGTCAGCAGAAGCTGCTCCTGCTCCTGCCAGAGGTGGACAGGCAGGTGTGTGCCCATGGAGGGAGGGGAGGAAACAAGTCAGGGGTCAACTTTTCCCCACAGTTTTATATAACAGAGCTATTGTGCAGAACTTGGGCTGTGAGGGCCCAGTGTTCCCAATACTCAATAAAATGGTCTTCTGTGTTAGCAAATGGGTGTTCAGTTTGTGAAACTCATCTTGTTTTCTGCTTCCTTGGCCCAGAATTAAAACAATCTTGTAACAGCAAGAATTGACTCTCTATTGGCTCCCTGTGGTAGTTTAGAGCGCTGTAAAAGGAAACAGTCTTTTTTTAGGCTCCTGGTGCTCTAATATTGGCATTTTTAATGAGAAAAGTCTTAACCTTCAATACTTTTACTATGGTTTGATTGTGACATTTAGTGCAAAGAAGTGCAAATCCACTTTGAGAGGCTTGCCAATTCAGTTATTCCCATAGCTATGTATATACATCTCCAAATATTGTAATAGGATATCCAGGCCTTCATGGGGAATGCCTGATGCCCTTAGGACAGATGGGGGCATGCTTTCATATATATTGTATTTTTTTATATGTATGCAATATGCAAAAACACTGTTGTACTGTGCTCTTATTCCCATTTTTTTCCCAGTTCCCAAAGTCTCTGCACAAATGAACAATCATTCTCAAATCATTTATAAGGCAGAAGAGGCTAAAAGTGGCCTGTCAGAGACCATCTTACCCTTGAAAGATAAAGTGCAAGGAGTTCCTTCTTTTAGGCTGCTCTAGGATTAACCCATAGCTTTATCTGCCTGATTTTATGAATTCCTGAGGAAAGTTGAGTACTTGGCAGCATATTGTTATTCATCCTACCCCATTTGTCTTTCAGATCGGAATGGATGGCTTGATGAAGCTTAGCAGTTCTGCCCTCAACAATGAATTCTTTAATTCTGCTGCGCAAGGATGGAAGGAGCGACTGTCGGAAGGTGAGGACATCCAGAGGCAGGTCTCTAGGTTTCTGAGGGTGTTTCAGAAAGGTTGGTGAGAATGAACAGATTTTTACTGAAAGAATTACTTGTGCAAAGAAGCATGAGATCAGAGCAATAAATGAAATAAAAATAACCTCCTTTGCCATTTCTAAGGTATGAATAGAAAAGAACCTTTTGAAAAGATTGGTGATATTTATGTTCTGGAAAATCAGGGCAGCAATTGAGTTTGAAAAGGCAGACATTTCTGTATCTTGCTAACTTCTTTTTTTCCGCTCTGTGTGTGTGGCAGGGGAGTTCACTCCAGAGATGCAGCTAAGACTACGGCAGGAACTAGAAAAGGAGAAGAAAGTGGAACTTTGGAAAGAGCACTTCTTTGAGAACTATTATGGTCAGAGGTAAGGATTTAACCTGCCATACCTGATCAAAATACCTTTTTCTTTTCTTTCTGAGATTTTTGAGCTGATGGTATGTGGGCCTGGTCTCTGAACTATACAACTGCTTCGAGGCTGCTTTGGAGGAATGCTTTACTTTGTATTGCACCATTCAGAAATGAATTATCCAAATAGTCAAAGCACTTTAAATATTTGATTCCAGAAATATTTTAAATAATTTTGGAAAGATGTCTAATATTTCAGTTGAGGGTTGAAAGAGTAGTCTCTTGAGTAGAATGTCCATCGCTGATAAGATATTAAAGCTAGAACTTCTCTGTTCAAAGAATGGTCTATTGGCTAGTGCAGTGCAAATCTCTGCTGCGTTGTTTTTTATAAGGTATATGGCTCTCAGGATAGGAGCACCTCCTGCTATTTCAACTTCAGAGGGAGGGAAGAAGGAGCTTACAGCAGTTTTAAAGGAAGAGGTCTCCACTGCCTGCCTTAAGGCCCTGATTAGTCTCTTCTCCTTTAATCTACTATGTCAGCTTTGGTCCTCCTCAGTTACTGCTTTTTCATAATGAAGAAAAAGATCCTTTCCTTTGACAGTCACTTGAGATTTTCCATTATGCTTCATTCTCTTCTTCTATCACTCTGTATCTATTCATTCCTAATCTAGCTATTGCTTTAATCCATTCCCTGGGTCTGCATCAGTCATTCAAATAACATATTAACTCACAAAAAACTAGCAAAGATTAACATAAATCAAGCTTAGCATGTTGTGTAAATGTACCTACTAGGTATTTATTTGACCTAGGTACATATATAACAAGAACCAACCTATTACTATTCTGACAGGCTTCAGTACTTGTTGCTTCCCTGTGAAAAGTTGGCACTTAACAAAAGATTTCCTTATTGAATGACACTCTCTGCTTGATGACCAGGGAAGAATTGCCCTGTATCTTACCAATGTCTCTGCTTTCTCTTTCTGTCTTCTAGTTCCGGCTTAAGCCTTGAAGAGTCCAAGCAATTGACATCTCATATTCCTACTGTTCAGAATCAAGCACAGGCTGGGAATCTAGCACCTCAGTTACAGAAATGCATAGTAGTCCATAAAACAGCACCTGACAAAGAACAGACCAATTCTCTGGTGGGTCCAAAGGTACAGGTTCTCCCAGCTGTAACAGCAGCCGCTAAAGGAGAGGAGATTGAGCAGCCCAAGATCTTTAAGCCAGAAGAGCGTGTAAATTCTTCTGACAACAGTGCCTCCTTCCAGAGTAGCAGCCAGATTCCTCAGAAGCTTTCCAACAGAGTTGAGGAGTTAAAAGAGGTGACACCACAGCCTGCTTGCCTGGAGTCCCTGGTGAGACAAATTCCAAGCAAACCAAAGAATGCAGCCATTGCTGGCACTATACCAAGCCCAGAAGTAAAATCTCAGGAGATTTCTGCAAAGGAGACTCCTGCCACTTGCACAGAACAAATGGATACTGGAAGCCGGGCTTTCAAGAGAAAATCAGAGATTCCTGAAGAGGCACTGATGACACCCGAAAAACAGCTCCATGTGACAGAAAAGTGCCCCACCAGGCTGCCTTTTCAGGGCCCACTGCAGCGCTTTCCCATCGCGCCCACACCAAAAGTCCCTCCGCTCAGGGTAAAGGAACCATATGTGTTAAGCTCATTCTGTAATGACTTCTGCAAGCTGATGAGTTCCTTTGTCACAATCCCTGTGACAATTGTTCTTCATTTCTATTTTGAAAGCGAAAGAACACCTGTCACTGCAGATTGCTGGCTGGCTGAATGTTTGCAAGCAAATGAGAGTGGGATGAGCTCAGTTTGGTCAATTCTGATCAGGGAGATTCAGCACAAGAGTGTTTGAATGACATCTTAACTTTCACCACTGATAATCTCACTTTAAGAGGGATCCCATGGATGAAGAGGAAAGACCTTGTTTTTAAGCCAAGGCATTTGAGTTGCTTCATTTACTTCAGGGATTCTCTGTGTAATTTTTTTCATACACAATGAATGGATGAATAAACGAACGAATGAATGGGTGAGTGGGTGGGTGGGTGAACGAACAATCAAATACTGGGAAGTTATCAGCTCTAAGGTTGATGAATTAGTAGTCTAAATTTTTGGCTACTGCAGCTCCTTTTTTTCAGAAGGAGGTACTTATTCATTTTAGCAGCCTCTTGAAAGAATAGATGGGCATAAGAGAGTTCAGTGTATTCAACTTGATCTGTCTTCCAACAAGATGGTGAGTGTTTTCATTGGAACTGACACTCATGAGACTCATTTTCTCTTGAGTCTCTTGTTTTGTTCCAAGATAAGAAACATGAGTGAGAGGTGCTTTACCTTGCAGTTTATTGATGCACTTTCCTCTCTTCCAGATCCACGTCTCCAGAATCCAAGGATCTCCAGCATTACTGTCTGCTAGCCAGGTCTCTCCCAGGCCCCCCTTCCCGATCATCAGAAGAACAGGGGCCAGAACTTTGGCCGACGTCAAAGCCAGGGCTAGAATGGCCAGGGCCCAGCGAGCAGCTGCTGCAGCCGAAGCAGCCACAGCAGCCTCCATTGCTGCTTCTGCTGCCTCCTTTGTGGAAGCCATCCCGGGGCCGGGGCCAGGAGGGGGGAAAGGAGAGGACAAGAGCAGTCCACTCTCAGGGAGGCCTCTCGGAGCTACATTGGACATGGCAGGCTCTGGAACCAGGACAAGTCCAAAAAGTTTTTTTCCCTCTTGCTCAGCCCCTTTCTCCCCAGCAGATTCCCCAGCTCCAAAACCAGCAGCTACAAGCAGTGCTGCTAGAGCACAACTACAGCCGGCTCCCCCAGCACAATCCAGAACTGCAAGCAGCAACCCAGAGATGGAGAGGAGCGGGTCAATCTCGCAAACAGCAATAGGGAATGTCAACTGTACAAATCCCAGCCTTTTGACTGTGCCTGTCACTCAGGATGTCACAGCTTCTTTGGGCTCAACAACTGATCTTGCTTCCATGAGGGAGAAACTTAGAAATAACCCTCTTGCACTTAACCAGGTCACAAGAACATCCTGTGCATTTGAGACTGGAGTGAACTGCAAAAATATATTGAAAACAGCTTCTACTGCCAGCACAGGCGTTTCAGAAGACAAAGCCAATGCCTTGCTTTCTGTATCCCTTGTGTCGGCTGGACCCTTCAAGGCACCCCCTCCCCTTTCTTCTTCTTCACCTAGCACTGTGCCCGTGTCCCCCTTACCTTCTCCTTCCCATAACACTTTGTTGGTAGCCCGCAGCCCTAAAGTCCCCCCAGGCTCCTCAGGTTCAAGTGGAATTACCTCTGCAGTAAAGTCCAGCTCCAGTATACCTGCTAATAATCCTCTGGTGACTCAGCTGCTGCAAGGTAAAGAAGTCCCAATGGAGCAGATCCTCCCAAAGCCTCTGACAAGAGGTGAGATTAAGACTGTTGCACTGCCTGTGAAGGCAGGCAAAGCAACCACAATTGTTTCCAGGCCTGGCCCTCCAAGGGAAGGGGAAGGAAAGCTGCACGTCACTTTCCCAGCAGGTAGGAAGCCAAACCTTAGTCACTGTGGACAGTCCCAAGATCCTTCATCCTTATCCTCTTTATCAGGGCAGGACTTGTGGAGCAAACCTACAGTCCTGTACAGTAGCCAGGAAATTTCAGGCAAGACTGCCCAAGAACATATTCTCCAGACTGTCATGCCGAAAGTCCCTGTGCAGAGCCTCCCTGCTGCTCCTTCTCCCCCTCCACGTCTCCCCCTCCTCCCCCCACACTTCCCAGTAGAGAGCAGCTCCACCAGCCAAAGTTTCACACTGGGATTCATAGGGAGAAGGACATTCAAGCCTGCCATGTCTGGCCATTACCTCCTGAATGTTTCTACCTATGGGCGCTGCCCAGAGAACCTAAGAAGAAACCTTGCCCTACCCCCAGAGAGCCAGCAATGCTCAGACAAGCCCCCGATGAAATTAGAGGATCAGAAGCATATATCTAGAGATGACAGTAAAAATAATAGTGGTGGTGAAAATGAAGGAGACACAGATGGCAATGTGACTGAACATGAAACAGCACATCTCAAGATTAAAGAGGAATCTCTGGCTCCAGGAAGAGGAGGAGGAAGGCGGGCAACTTCAAATGTAAAACTGGAGCAGGCAGCAATAAGCCACAAGGATGGAAGGATTTGCTTTTTCCCAGCAGGTCAAAACTATGCTGAAAGCAAATCGGCAAAAGATTTTGTTCAAGCAGCCCAGGAAAAAGTGGCCCAGACAACTAGAGGAGAAATGAGACCTTGCAGTGGGGAACGTCAGACTTGTGCTCCAGCAAATGTTATTCTACAGCGGCCCCTGCTGCTTTCACCCTCACCCTCTCCTCAGCTCTTTGGAAACCCTACTCCTGCACAACTTGTTGGACCAGGCTACAGTGGCACGATCAATGTTTCCACTTCTCCAGACATGCATCAAGATACTCTCCTGACTGGACTATCGGACCCCAGCCGCATAGGGGATGTAGTGTCCTTCTCTGTAACTGTAACAACTATCCCTGCTAGCCAGTCAGCAAATACTGGTAGCCATGGACAATCTCTCCGTGGCCAGGCTTTTGCAGAAGATGGTGGCTTGGAGGACTTGCCCTCAAAGTGCTACTGTCGCTTGAAAGCCATGATTGTGTGCAAAGGCTGCGGGGCCTTCTGCCATGATGACTGTATTGGCCCCTCCAAGCTCTGTGTTTCCTGTCTTGTTGTGCGGTAGCAGTTTTGCTAGATGGCATCTTGTCTAGGGAGCAGGAGGGGCATGCTGCTGAGTCAAGAGTCCCTATCCTATCCCACTCCACATCTACTTTGTTTCCTTGAGAATGAAGAAAGCACCTTGGATGAATGGCTGAACCCAGTGGGACAAGTGTGTGCACTTAAGGAATCATGTAAATATGTTGCATTGTTTTGTCTTAAAGTTATTATTTTTTCCAACCTTGAGATAAATCTATGGATGTGAACCTCATGCTCATTTTGCCTCTTGTCCTATAGTATAGCAGGATTCTGGCCCAGTAGGTTCCTCTTCACCATCAATGTCTCTGTTTCCCATAGGGCCTTGATTTGCTTCCACCTTGCTACCATCATGGCCTCCATGTTTTTCTTTGACTTGCCAAATGTCCTAGTGAAACACAGTGATTGTGACTATTATATCAGCAGCCCTAAGCAACAGGAACATCAAAAGGTGGGCAGATAGCCTACCACCCAGTTGAACTGCTGTTTACAGTAAACAATTCTTCTTTATTGTATAAAATCACCTTGAGAAGAGGCAGTGTATTGCAGATCATCAGAATTTTCAGGGCAGAATGGGGCTTGGTGGGGATAGTTTATAATTCTAAATTAACCAATGGCAGCAGTGATGATTTCCATTTCCTGATATGAATGTGTGTGCTCTGGCCTTAGAATTTCAATCAAGATGCAGCAGCACAAACTCTTTTGGTCCCAGGCTCTAGATTCTCATTTTTCAAGAAAAAAAATGGTGAGGTAAATGCTGTGGAATAGGGCAGAAGAAACGTTTCAGATTTTTTAACATCAAGCCATAATTTTGGGTCAGTTTGTCAGCTTCTGGAATCAGCTCTGACTCTGAAATTGAAAATTTCAAGCTGGAAAAGGTAGTGGGAGGATGTTATTCCCTTGTGTGCATTCTGCAATTGCACTCTAAAGGTGTGGAACATTATATTTAGAGGAGGAATTGATCCTGCTCAGAATCACCATATTTAAAATAAAATGGAGTTTCTTGACCTGGATTTCACTTATAGAAGGAAGGGCATTTCCTTGGAAGTAATTTGCAGGATGCCATGTCAATTGATGGATGGAACTTAAGCTTTTAGGATGAAACCTGAGCCATACAAAATTAGTTCTACACTTTCTGACACCTTATTTTGTTTGCCCTCCCCTTGCCTTCCCCTCCCCATATTCATTTCTATTGCCAGAGACTCAAACTAATTATTGATAAAGTGCTTTTAAGATTAGGCAGTAATCAGGTTCCATATTCTTGGTTTGTAGAATGTATTTTGCTCTTTATTGGCCTTGTCAGTGTTGTGCCAAGATAGCTCTCAAAGCATGGCAGGATTTTCTATGTCTCCTATTCTTAACTCTACTAGGAAAAGACTAAATTATGGAGGTTTGATGAAACCAGCATAATTTTTTCCAGCTCCAGATTCTGCTTTTTGTGAGGCTGATTTAAACTGAGTTAGAGATACTTAGAGTGTCCGCAGCTTTGTTTAATAGCTCCATTGTAGTTTGGTTGCATATAACTACAAAATTGTACATGGCAATTTGGGCTCCAGTCCCCAATTAATGTGCAGGTTTTTAGATAAAGTACTACCCACTAAGTAATCGGAAAAGCTGTCAAGTCAGAATAAATGAAGAGAAGAACAAGCTTTAGAAGGTAAGTTGGGTAAAATATTTTCCTTTTGATAGATAAAAATAGGAAAAGATAGTTTAGCCAAGGCACACCCTCTCCATGCAAGTTGAACTATATAATTTCCAGTTTCCATCTTTCATTCTAGATAAAAGCCAATATTGATGTTTATGGCTTGAGACAGTTTCACCATTAACCTTTTAAAAAATGTGTTAAGGCACCTGACTAGAAATCAGGAAACCAGTGCTAGTCCCACCATAGTCATGAAAGCCAGCAGGGTGGCCAAGGGCCAGTCACACACACTCAGCCCAATTTACCTCAGGGGGTTGTTGTGGGGAAAATAGGGAGTTTTAGATATGTTCCCTGCTTGAGTTATTTACAGAAATAATAAAGGTGGGAGTAAAAAAAGAGAGAATTGCTTGGAAGAAAGCCAAGGACTCCATTACCCATTTCAACAAGCATCACCCATTTCTATTACTCATCATGGAAATACCACATTATAATCAGTGCTACAGGAATTGGATCACTTTTGATTTTAAATTGTGATCTGGCCTTCTGTTTTTAATAATGGTCTGCCAGATATTTCCCAGCAGCCTATTGACGAGTATAGAAGTCACTTCTCTTTCAAGTTGTGTGTGCCCCCAAAACAGCACCTCTTGGGTAAGCCTATTATCTTCCCTAAATTTGTATTATACCTTGAAGAAGGTATCAAAGGCAGTATCACATTTTGTATTGGTCAGTTCTATAAGTTAGCCATATATTTTTTGCATGTTTTACATCTACAGTGTTTATACAGGAGTATCAGTGTGTATCGTTCTTTTACACATAGGTAAAAATACATCAATGTGTATTGTGCTTTACATAGTAAAAGAGTGGTCAACATCCACAGGAAACATAATTTTTAATAGAGTTAATAAGAACCAGGAAGAAAACAAAATTTAGGTAAATTCAATTACACAAGACACGTCTTTACATTAAGAATTAAAGTAAATACCGGTAAGTTAGATGGCATGAATTTCTAGTGCTTATACTTTTCTTTACTCTTTTTATTCAATAGTTCATAAATGTATAAACTGTTATCAGAATCCCCTCATTCTTTAGCTATTTCTTCTTCTATGCAAACAATCCATATTTTTAAGATTTCAGTGGCAAGAGGAAAACTGTAGCCTTTTGGTTCGTTGGCTGTCTATTTGGCATCTTTCCCTGGCATCCAAAACATCCAAATGAGGGCATATTAAATTATCATGGACCTACCCTTCATTTCAGACCTTTTCCTAATATGAAATTAGCTTCTCTTCATAATTAATGTACAGTTTTCATTAAGCTATCAGGATGACCTTAGGATAATTTTTCCACTTAGATCTTATCAGATTCTAACTGTTACAGAAGGGAATTTTTAATCATTATTTTTGCTTTATGCCCTCCAGCCATTTTTTAGCTCATTACAGCTGCATTTTTTATCTCCTGAATTTTCTGATATTACCTAAAAACTTGAGTAATTTACTCTTCAGCCATAACTAATCAGGGAAACAAATGCAGAGTATATAAGGACATATTAAAAAGTACAATCTCTGGGGAATTCCTTCATTCAAATGCCTGTTTATACTTCCTGCTTCCTGCTATTTTATTGAATATTAATCCACTAACAAGATCTTACTTGTGATTGTTAACTTTTTCAGCCCTTTATTTTTATATACAAAAGATCTCTGCTACCCAGATGCTGATGCTTTTGAACACTTCAAAAGATTAGTAAAATGAACTTTCCTCTGCAGAAACCATGCTTATTCTTCCTCAGCAATTATTTATTATTATGCGTTGTAGTGCAAACTTTCATAATTAACTGGAGGAAATTTTAGGTGCATGTGTTTATTTTATTTTCTGGGTTTTTTTTTAATATAATGATGTTACTTCGGCTACCTTTTCATATTCAGTTACGATTTGCTGTGTCACTAAAGTTTTATTGTGATGGATCAGTGGAATAATAGCCCATGCCTTCCAACCCCAATAGCATTCAATCCCTTCTAATTTTTTAATCCAATTTCTGTTGAAGCCTTGACTTAGAGCCAAAACCACTGCAACTGAATTATTCATTCCATCGTCATTCTATCTTTCAAGTAATGAATATTCATTTTCTGTGATCGTCCTCTTAGCAACATCTTAAAGTTACACTATAACACATCAAAGGGGGAATTTTATAACTAGAATGGGTTTATTGGTTCCCATTGAGTTTTATAGAACACAAGTGAGGGGTCAAACCATGATTCTTATCTCATATATTAAAATAATTAATAGCAGATTTGTCCCCTCCCTTTCACAATGGTGCCTCAGAATTGTTTCTCCTTTCTCTTAGGGGGCAGAATTCTGATTACAGTAATATTCACGTGCCTGGATTCTCCAGAATCCTTCAGCAGGGACATTTTACCATAAAACATGCAGAAGCACATTTCATGCTTACAGGTCTAGATTCCTGCATCGTAGTTAATTTATTTTTAAATTATTAACATAATTTATATACCATGCTAAAATCTTTGAACGGTGTTCCCAAAAAATCTGACATAAAAGTTACTTTCTATAGTACATTGTCATAACAATGACAATCATTTACTAAGCAGAAATAACATCCATGGTCCAATTAAAAAGGAAGGTCTTGGGAGATTCCCCAAATGCCAAGAATGAGAAAGTCAAACATATATCCAACGGCAGCCCATTCAATAGGATGGGGGCTGCCACAGAAAAAGCCTGTCTTCTGACCCATGCCCATCTGTCTTCACATGGTTTGTGATCTTAAGGAGGAGCTCCTTTGATCTGATGAACGAAGAAAAGAATTTTGGATAAGGAGGTCCCTGAGACAGCCCGCTGGATTAAGAGCCTCTTACTAATAACAAATTACAAACGGGGCTGACTAGAAGATTGGTAGAAAATTTGTAAAAAGTCAGATTAGCAGTTAATAATTGCATATAAGGCTGTGTAAAAAGTTAAGAATCATGACTTTTCTCTAGGCTCCAAAGTTCTGAAGGAGTACTATAATTCTTGGCCAATGGTTTCCCATAGTGAGAGTCACATAACTGCGATGTAAAAGGGTTTTCAGCATCTTCCATGGCTTATCTTATGGCTAATGATTGTTTAGCAGAAAGGAGCATGGAAAAGCAGATTGTATAATTACCTTCCCCTTAGTTTAGCAGAGCTTCATGAATGGAATATAGCAATGTTGACAAAAATTTAAACTGATTCAGCCATCTCACTCAAACTAAGCAATATTCAGCCGATGGGTGGAGAAAGCCTTACCTTTTGGCTAACATAAGAGTAAACTGCTGCATCTATTTTCACTTTCCATCCATGCAGTTGCTAGTGCAGGATGGATCTGCCTATCTAATATACAATAAGCCAGTCTGCTCTTTTGGCTCAACTCATGACATGACATGATTGTTAAATTTCTCTTAGCTGAAACACTATGTATGTTTGGTTGCATCCTTATGAATGCAATTGATGGGGCCTGAGATCCAAAAGCCCCAAGGGTTCAACAATTGAATGGGACATTTATATTCTTGGCCTTGTTGGTG